GCCGGTTTCGTTCACAGTTGTCATTTCAGTCTCTGGAACACTAGGTGCTCCCTGAAGAAAGGGAGGGAAGGAGTAAGGAAGGAGGGAAGGAAGGAGGGGAGGAAGGAGGGGAGGAAGGAAGGGCAGGTTCCCACAGAAGACAAGGGGTAGGAGTCCCACTGACCCAGGGTTGAATGCTGGCCTTGCCACTTTCTGTGGTGCAGGAAGCCGCCTCCATGTCCTTAGCTGCAGTTATTTCTACAAGGAGAGTGTGAGCATTTCGCCAAGGGGACCCACCCTGGCATCTTGATTTCCTCGCCCAGCCTCCTTGGGGGAGGAGCTGATATGCAGCGAGGACCAACCAGCTCTGCACCTGTGCCATCTTCTCCCAGACACCTGCACCAGTAGGAAAGTAGGACTCCTTTGGGATTGTTTCCCTCACTAGACTGTGTGCTCCGTCAGGCCAGAGACGGTCAGCTGTGGCTCAGGCTCCCACTTACATCCCAAATGAGCAACCACAGCGAAGGACTGATGCTGGCAACAGCAAGAGGACCAGCTATCAGTGTGGAGTGCCCGTCATCCTCAGGCACTGTGCCTTCTGCCCTGAGGACAACACACTGTCACTGACCACCGTGGGGCACACTGTGAACGATGCCAATCCCACTTCCAGGTGAGGACACCGGGAGCCCCTCTGTCTGGGAGTCAGCATTTCCTGAGTGTCTCCTGGCTGTGAACACGTAATGCATTGTGATGGGTGACAAGATTGACCCCAGCCCACCACCCAGTCACCAGGCAGGAGACATCAAATTTGGCCCACAGTGAGGCCTCACGTCCTCTGGCCCCACCCTGGACAGCCTAGCCTCCATGGCTACTCCAAGGTCACCCTCATGAGTCGCATCATGACAGTCCTGGTACTGACCTCTCTCTGGCTCCTCTGGATCTTACCAGGGTACCCGAGGCCCATGCTCTGGTGGCCTGGCTCCTCTCTCTCTCCTTCTTAGTTTTTAAGCTATGAAAAGTGGCCCTGCTAGTTCTCCCAGCACATAACAATTCCACCCCCATTTGCCTTTCTCTCTGTCTGCATACTGCTCCCTGTCCTGACCCAACAGAACACACACTTTGAGTCCAGCTCAGGCTGTCACCGTGTCTAAAGGCTCATCCTGAAATTGTCCATGAAAGATGCACCTCCCCTCTTCCCGGACGACTCCTCCTGTGGCCACCTGCCTTCTCCCTTGACTGTGATCTCCAGACTTCGCTCACACATCTGCCCACCTCACCACCAGTTCTGAGCTTCATGCCCGCAGCTGGATGCCCCTTCCGGTCTCCGGTCCTCCGCTGCACTCTGTAAATGTTTGTCATGTGTAAACTCAGCTCTCTTGCTCCTCAAATTCACAAACTGAAGCCCTAGATGGTGGCTAGAACATTTCTGATTTCCAATCTGACACATTTGAGGGTTTTCATCCCCTCTCCAATTGTGAATCCCATCTGCTCTTCTAATGAATGAAAATTCAGTTCTATGCAAATGCGTCTTGCAGGATCATCCCTAGTGGGCAACCTGTGGGGACTTTACTCATCAGCTAGTTCCCTGAATCTGGGTTTGGAACATTCTGGGAGCTTGCTATTGAGCCTGTGTACTGGGCAGCTCAAATGAGTGAAGTGGGCAAATCTGTCACTTGGCATCAGGAATTCACATCCCCGGGACCTGCAGGATTAGACTCCAGTGAGACAGACTCCCTTTCTCCCACCCTCTGCACCAGACTCACTGCCTGTAGTGTTACCACAGCAGCCTCTGAAACACAACCATGTGGAATGCCAGGATGCCCACAGAGCCACGCAGATTTCCTCTGGGCACTTGTTCATTAACTCAGGCCAGAGGCTCTTTGAATTAGGATGGCAGCAGCTGTAAATCTTCTGCACAGCTTGGACACCAACTTCTGTCTCATCGGAGAGACACAGCTTTTTGCTTCTAGAGCTCTGTCAGGAAGGCAACAGTCTGGCCTTCCTGTTGTGGGAAGGGGCAGGGATGTACAGGACGAAACACAGCAGCAGATGCATAGCAGGGCCACAATACTCGGGTTTCCTTCCTCTTGAAGGTGGGGAGCTGCCTCATGCTCAGTGGGAGGCCAAGTGGAGTCTCTGTGGGGTAAATGTGCAGGGTTCGGTGTCAAAGGCAGGGCGGGCGGGCCCGGTGGGAAATGGCCCTGAACTTCTCCAGTGGACCAGGATCAAATTCCTTGAGCTCAGTTTGCTTTCTGGAAACAGCCTGAAGACAGTCACAGCTACTTTGTAGGATCATGGAGGAGGCTGCCAATGGGGGCTCCTGCCTGCTGTCTGGGGTCTGTGTCCTCAGCATGCACTGTGGGTATCTCGTGCCCTTGGTGTCTAGTATGGTACTCCTGTGTCCCTGCTGGTGTGCCCTCTCCTACATTCCCAGCATCCCGCCCGGCCTCTGCTGCGCCATCTTAGTGCTTGGACCGCGGCCATGAGCACATGCAGTGTACATTGCTCCCAGACTCTTGAACACCTAGCTACTCTGAGGCCCCATGGAGATCTTGTGTTCAGACTCATCACCCAGGAGCCCCATCACCCCACAAGCCTGTGGCTGCTGCTATGTTCTCCCTACAGTGAACCCAGGTCTATAATCCGTCAGCTGCACAATGCAAACACCCGAGCAGCCAGCATTGCCCCTCCTCACTCTGTTCCCCGCCTGATCAGTCCCCGAGTCCTGCTTGTCTCTTTTCTCTTGAGTCTAAAGGCAGTGATCACCTTGGTCAGTTGCAGCAGTGACAGATCCTTCTGGAAGGGACTTCAGAAAGGTGGTCAGCAGGGAATGCCTGTAGCAGTGAGTATCCAGTGTCCCAGGGACACCTTTTCGGAAAACTAACTCAGGAATGTGCACAGCTTCCGGCATTTCTGCTAAGGGCAGCCCCTGTCACTGAGGCCAGGCGGACAGCACCGCAGAGCTCGGTGCTCATCGTCACACCAACCTGGGTCTGAGTCACCAACCATGTCCACTTGAAGTCACGCTGCTCTCCAAGCCTCTGCTCCCTCACCTATAAACAGGAATAAATGACTCCATCCGCCTATTCCCGGGCAACCAGTGAAGTTACGGATGGGAAGTACTTAGCTCAGGGCCTGATACACAGCAAACACTCAAAACCATGTTCTTACCATTGCTTCCTGACCAACTTAACTTATCTAAGTGGACTCTGAATTTCTACAAATCTGCTCATACAAACTGACAGAGCAAACAGACCGCTACACCAAAAGCTCTTGGGTGTATTTACTTTAAAGCTAAGTTGTCCTCACATCCCCAAAATACACGTGAGTGGGAAAAAAACCAATAATGACAAGACCTCCATGGTGGTGACTTCTGTACAAAAAGAAACAGAGCAGCAATAAAGCATACTGAGGGTCCGGAGAGCCAAGATCTCCAAAACAGCCATCAGGTGTTCACGGATCAGTTGACCTGGCAGGAACTCTCCTGGCCCCAAGGGGGAGCTCTGAAGGAGCAAACCAGTTCCGGACACAAAATTCTCGACCACACAGCCTTTCTAGGAAGGAGCCCTAAGGAAGATCTGTGGATGGACAACAGTGGAGCAGGATGGGGACCCTACATGCAGAGGTAAGGTGCCCAGAGAAAAATAAGGAAGGAGAGCCAGGAACTCTCAGATGGTTTTAGGTTTTAATACTCCATAAAACTACACAATGATGGATTCCATTTACCTAGCAAATCTCTCCTGATCCATATCTTCTTCTAAAAGTTCAAGAAAACATGTTTCACTTCAAAAATAAATGACTGAAAAGTATCAAAGTCATATTTCATATAATATTATTATAATACTGTTACAATGAAAGCACACTAGAAAGTTGTGCCAACAAAACAGATAAAAAGTTTGCAAACTTTTTCAAAAGAGGTCAAAAGCATTGCGGTTGGTTGTATCATGCATGGTCCCCAGTGGATCATGCCTTTTGGTATCCATGGCCCTGGGGTCCCTCCCACAGGGTTGGTCATGTGATTTACTGTGGCCAATTGAAGCTCAGGAATGAGGAACAAGCAGTCTTGGGCAGTATGTGGAGCTTGGGTGCACCATTTTGAAAGTGGTCCACCAGCTGAAGATGCTCATAGGCGTCCTTTGATGATGGGAGATGACATGAAGAGAGGTCTGCTCATCTCTGCTGACCCCACCCCTCCAGCTAAATGCATGTGCTTCAGTGAGCCCAGCCAGATATAGCAACCTCCCCCAACCAACACAGATGAATAATACATTGTTATTGTTCCAACCCTAAGTTTTGACAAAGTTTGATACACAGGAATTGATAGCTAATATAAACATTCAGAATTAAAAGTAAAGACACGAAGAAAATTAAACAAAACATGAAAAGCAACCTAAGAAATCAGGCAAAAGAATACCAGAAAATAAATAGAAATAAAAACAAATTGTATCAGAAAAAATTTCACTGGAAAACACACAAAACAAATGAACACAATAAATAAAACCTTCAGAGAAAGATAACAATGAGAAAAATTTTTAAAATGAAATAAGAAGTAAAAGTATTAGAGAGAAATTGACAAATACTGAAGACTGGCAAAGAAGACACAACATTCAAATAACAGGTGACATTTAAAGATAAAGCAAGGGAACAGAATACATAGGAAAGTGATGCTTCTATAAAAAGTTCCAACAGGAAAACCAGTAAGAAATTATGCACTGAAAGAGCACCATGTACCCAGGAATAGAGAGGCAAAATGACCGACACCAAGTTATATGCGGGCAATATTACTGGACTTCAATGGGAAAGAAAATGATTGTTTTGGTCCCACCTGTGCAATTCTGATCCAAGATTTTCTGGAAAACCCTGGAGAGGAGGGCCTCCCAGCAGGGCAGACAACGAGGGAAAGGCAGAGAGCTGGAGAGAGACCAGCACACCCTTGGAACAGGAGGAGTGGGTGTAGGATGGAGGGACAACCAGGAAGCTGGAGGGGAAGGAAGCCCTGGGTGTGGACCCTGGACACTCACCCATGTAAGGCTTGGTCCCAGCCATGGAGGAGGCCTTCTCTGCTCCCCTTATGACGGTTGCTATGTTGAAGTCTGTTATGTGAACGTGTCCTGCAATGACAGATACAGAAACTCAGTTAGTGGGAGCTATAGGTGGTGCACTCTTTCCTTGTGTGGTCGAAACCTGTGGTCTGCAAGGTGAAGTGTAGGGAGAAAGTATCAGAATGAGGCGGATAAGGACACACTATAATGTTTTTAATTGACATAAATGGCCACAAATGTTTTGAAGTGAGTATTTTGAAGAGGGTTAATGGCAAAGTGTCCTTTAGTGTATTTTCTGGTAGTGGGGATTGAACTTGGGTCCTTCTGCTTGCGAGGCAGGTGGAGGAACCACTGAGCTAAATCCCCGGCCCTTGTAATATATTTTAAAATATTTAAACTTCACCATAGTTTGGGATCACATCTTGTAGATAAGTGGCATACAGAAAATTGGCTTTGAGGGGACTCGGAGAGCACCTTCAAGAGACAGGAGGACACTGTCTGCAGCAGGTATGACGGCAGGCCTGGGAGAGGGGAGTGTCTGATATGATCGGCCAGGGTACACGGCAAAGACATCAGGTGTCACATGCACATCCTGCATCCCAGGCTCAGCTGCCAACATGAAGTGTGTGCATGCTGCTGCTCCGGGCCCCATCCAGAGCCCCAGGTGACACGCTGCAGCAATGCTCTCATGTAGTAATGATCTGTAATTCTCTTCAGGTGCTGTTGCGAAGCTGGTATTTTCTGGGATGCATAAGTCTTTGCCTGTAGCATATTATCCTGCCAAGGCACGGCTCAGAACCACTTTCTCCAGCCAGGCCCAACCTGCCCCACACCCCCATCTCCTTTTTGCATACTAACACAGAGGCAGGTTCACATCCTTGCTGTGGCCCGGGCCACACACAGCATGCACACCACCACCGTGAGAGGATCTGGGGCCTTTGGACCCAGCTTTCATTTGATTTTCTTTCATTTCTTCCTCTCTTTAAAACGTTTGGCATCCGCATTTTGGAAAGAATGTCAGCTCATTGCTGTAAGTCAAAGAGCACAGAACTCGATTTTGAGTCCTTTTTAACCCCTGCCCTTGTGTAGCTCCTCTACCCCATGAAATCACACCAATTTATGTTGCTTCCCCAGCATTTTCCCTGTGTTTACACAAACACACATCCACATGTCTTGGAACTTGGGTTTGTTTTTAAACAATGAGATTGTATCCAGGAGTCATTCTTAAAGTTATGTTTGCACTTGGCTATGTTCAAGGACATCTTTGCAACTTAGTGCACACAGATGTCGGTGAGGCATTCAGTCCACTATGCTGTGGATTAGTTCATTTTCTGTGGCTCTAACAAATACCTCGGGCTGCACACACATAAAGAGGTTTATTTAGCTTATAGGTTTGGAGGCTTAAAATTTAAGCTCAGGTGACCTCATCTGTCTCTGCCACCCCTGGAGGGAGGCCCTGGCTGTGTTATGGCAGAGCGGTGGGTTCCTGGCAGGAGCACATGCTTGCGGGGGGCCACGTGGTGAGCAGGAGAGCAAGGCTGTCCCCTGCATCCCTCTCTGGTCACAGTCAGCTCTTGTGGGGACGGAGGCACTGCGTGAGAGCAGGATTAACCTCTTCTGAGGGGAATGCCCCAGCACCCTCACCATGCTCTGATGGACCCCACATCTCACAGGTTCCAACACCCCTAATGCTGCCACCAGGCCACCTGCTCATGAACTCTTGGAGCACAAACCACACCCAAAACCACACCACTACGGTCCTCGTTTATTCTAAATCCATTTCCCCTACAATTAATTAGGGGATAAAACGTGAGCTGAAGTTTTACTTTTTTGTGGACTTTCACATTTTTTACTGTAGAAATCATAATGCTTTTTAAATTAACACGGTACACCTCCCAGTCCCTATGGAGTGTTACATAATACAGAGTATGCATTATTTTAAGATATTAGTACACATTGTATGTTAGACACATATTGTTTTTATTATAATTATGATACACATGGTACGTTGGTTCACAAACTCAATTTTCTTCATGATTCTGGTCGCAAACCAAACTGGACGAGAACCGAATCAAATTTCCCCATAAGGTCAACATTGACCCAAACCACTGAATTTGATTTGGTTCTCATCCAACTCAGTTTGCTACCAGAATGATGAAAAGAATCAAGTTCATGAACTGAGGTTACCATTGTATATTATTTAATATAAATGACTTTAAATCTGAAAAATTCTGAATTGGGAAAACGTATCTACCCCCAGGAATTTCAAGTAAGAAACTGTGGACTTGAAGTTGCAAAGTGTTCCACTGTACCACTGTATCCTATTTTATGCAACACTTTGATGCTGTGGGTAGTCAGTCTGTTTCTAGTGTTTTTGCTGAATTGTTTACCTTGTTATTAAACATGCAGCAACAAGCAGTCTTAGATGTATCTTTAAGCATTGGTTCTTTTACTCCAACTGAATAAATTCCCAGAAGTGGAGATCAAGGGTATACAGATTATGTTCCAAAAAGTTGTGATTCATGGTACAATAAACAGAATGTAAGTGCATTTCTCCAAAGTTTCACTAGCATTAGTTGTTGTCAGTAATCTTTGGTGGTACAACTCAGGTGGTGGGAAATGATGTTTCCATGCTGAGGAGCCCACCACTTTTGATGTGATCAGCTTCCACCACGGATTTCCTGTGTGGGACCTTGGCCAGTTTTAAATGAGCTCCTTATGTACAAGATACACTTACCTTTTTCTGTTATGTATTGTTAGGAGCAATGCTACATAATTCTAGGGAAAAATCATTTGAGTAGGCCTAGTTCTCCTGCCCACAGACCAGCTACAACATTTCAGACATAATTGCATTTTGGCCTCGGGTCACAACTGAGACTTCAGGGATCCCCAGATGCTGTAATCTCCAGGACAAGACCACACCTGCGGGAGACACCAGGGAGGAACTAAATCTTCATCTGCATAGTTCCTTATTGTTCTTAGATTTCGGCCACCCCCACCCAGTCTTTTGTTACACCTTATTTATCCCATTGTGAAGTACTGAAATCTACCTATTCATTTGTTACATTTGTTTCTCCTGATGTACTGAATAAAAGGTGCTGCAAGCTAGGGGTTTTTGTCTTTGCTGCCCAGAGCAGCACTGATCGGACCCAAAGCTCAGCTTCTTCTCAGTCTCATTTGTCTACCTTTCCTGTAATTCACCGTGTGCTGCCGTGGCTCACAGGAGACCAGGACTAACTGCAGAGGTTCTGGTAACGTCCCCTTCCCCTGTTCCCTACAATGTATGATGCTGATATTTCTCTAAGCCTGTTGCTTTTCTTTTGACTTTGTCTAGAGTGTCTTTTGCCATGTAGTTTAGAAATGCAAACAATATTGTTTGCATTAATTTCTAGTTTCTAAGTGCTGTTTTTCTTATAACTTTCCATTTTCCAGAGGCCTCCACCCTAAGATTTTACATAGTCAGAGGTTATATTTTCTTATAATACTTACACAATTTACCTTTTATATTTAAATTTTGCAACACTTTTGTCTATGGTATGAGATAGAATTCTGATTTTTATTTCTCCCAAATGGACAGCCACTTGTGCCAACATTTACTAGAACTTCATCCATCCCCGATAACTTGCAATGTGACCATTCCGTATCCAGCCCCACATACGCCTGGGTCTTCTTATGGATGCTGTCTTGTGTTCTGCGGTCCTGTTTATCTGGTGCTATATTGGTTTAACCTCAACAGTCGTGTGGCTCGTGTACTGTTAGGGTTGGTGCCCCCTGGCTCTCTTTTCTTTCCAATGTAATTTGGGAGTTCTCAGGTATTTACTCTTCTGAATGAACCTAAGACAAATTCCATCTGGTTTTGGAAAACACTCCCCTTCGGGTTTGGATAGGTGTTGCTGTAACTTACTATCCATGGGCCAAGGGTGCACCTTTTCTGCTTCATCTAGGGTCATCCTCGTGAGGGTCCACTCAGGTGACCTGAGATCCTCCTTGGAGGGATGGAAATGTGCCAGCACATGTGCAAATCAGAGCTGACTGCTAGGCCATTTGCTTCCCATACACATCTAACTCAGGCATTGTGCAGTACCCATTAGCACAGTTCTAGGAAAGTATGGATAGCTGATAATCCACACTCCACATCCCGTCCTCTGACATGCTTCTCTCTTGCACAGAGATTCCCCTCCCCTCTGAGCCTCTGTCTGATGCCATTTAGAATACACATCCCTCTCTGCCCGATCACCTGCATTTACCCTTTAAAACCTGGCCCAAGAGTTACATTACTAACAGATGTATAGCTAGCCTGTGCTCGAGTACTTCTGCCCACAGGAAGCTCACTCTCGAATACACAGGGTGGTTTATCTGACTGTGACTTAGTCTGTTTGGCTTCTTTGATAGAATGCTGTGGGCTGGGCGGCTCTCAGCAGACACATTCCTCGGAGCTCTGGAGGGGAAGTCAGGTCAGTGGGTGCATGGCTGGTGCTGGTGAGAGTCCTTGCTGTGGTTTCTGTGTTTGTGTCCCTCCAGAACCATTCTGAACTTTAGCTGCCAGCGCAACAGTGCTTGAGGCGGAGTCCTCTGCCACAAAGCCTCTGCCCTGTGAATGGATTTGAGCCCTTATGAAGAGGCTCCCAGTGTGGCCCCTTTGCCCTCCTGCCCCTGCTGGGTGAGGATACAGTGCCGTGATGCTGCTGTGCACCCACACAGTGCTCATCAGACATAGAATCTGCCGGTGCCTTGATCTGAGACTTTCAGCTCCAGAACCAAGACAAACTTCTGTTCTTTGTAAACTGCTCAAGCTGGGGTATTTTGTTACAGCAGCAGGGACGGACCAAGACAGGCTCCGCTCTTCTGCTGACTCCTAGAGGGGTTGCTGACTGACCAACTAACCACCCAAATAAAAGACTGAACTCAAAAAGCCTCGCCAGCAAAGCCTGTTGGCTTCCTTCATTCTTTATGCTCACAGAGATGTCATGGTGCTCACAGGAGTGGACTGCACTCTGGGTTAAGACTGTAGCAAGGTCACTTTTTCAGATGGCTGGAGCCAGGCTCTCTCTCCATGATTTTATAATCGT